TGTTGTTAGTTCTTCATAAGGTTGTCGACATCACCAGGTACTTGTGGAATGTGTTTCGTATTCTCCGGCGCTATGGAGAAGTGCTTCATCCTGAACACGCGGCATTGAAGCAGTTGCAATCCATGTTGAATCAAATCCGTGTGTCCAAATGCAGGCTAATCTGTTGGTCTGTTTTAATGGTGCCAGCGTGTTTGACGTTTGTCTGGAACTTTTCGTGGTTATGTGCCAAGTGGGCTATGGATAGTTTTGTTTGTCCGAGCCACATGTGGAACGTCCCTGCTCTGATGGAGTTAACGAACCCAGTGAGCGGTTGCGTCGATCTCAACGACACAACCTTCTCGGCGTCATAGACCGACAACAGATGTTGTCGTCATACACTGTGCTTTGTGTCTTGACCACCAGTCTGGACCAACGCCCCCAACAGTTTAGTCGCGTATCTGTTATGTGCGTTTAATTCGCGGGGTTGCTTTCCAAATCTATGATTTCATTATCTGGGTTACGTGTGATTTCGCTATACATACATATGTATCTATACATATATATATATATAACCACTGTAAATCAAAGATGGCGCTCCCCCAGAATTTCTTGTTACGCAATGGATGCCCGATACGGTAATCTAGTTGTGCCCCTCCTCGCATATACGTTTTTCCAGTGCTGCCGTTGATGACATTTGAAGCCTTCGTTCCAGGAAGCCCCAGCAAATCTGACCTGAATAATTCACCTCCAGCGAATGCGTTGCCCCCAGCGAATGCGTTGCGAACGTAGCCCGCCAAGGAGCTCGCTTTTGCCTTCCGCTTGCTGTTCTGGGGTTGCCCTTCCGCAAGGCTGGAGGTCTACGAACTGCAGGGGCTCGGCTCGCACTGCGAACGGCTGCTCGTGGTCGACCCGAGTTCTGGAGACTGCGCTCGAGCAGCGCTTGCCGCCCGCCCGTTCCGCTGATGACTGAAAAACGATCTCCCGGCCGCAGCGGCGCCTCTCTGCTCCTGGGGGGCGGCGCGAGGGCTTCGAGCGGGTGCTCCCGCACCGCGGGGCGCGGCGGCGCGCCGTCGGGTGGCCCAGGCTTCTGGGTCGCCCGGCCGCCCGAAGGGGGCCAGGGCAGATGCCAGAACCGAAAGTCAGCGGGGTGGGCGTTCTGCGGGCTGGGAGGCACGATCACATCGGCAATGCCGCCGCGCATGTGGAGGGTGCGTTCTTCAGAGTCGTGCCCTGTATCTTCCCAGCCCCTTCCTCCCGACACGACAAGTGGACAGGAGGGAGGAACCCGCCTACGTACACCAATAACCGTCGATCCCCCGAGACATGTGGAACATCTTGGACGTGGGGGGGAAGGCGAAAGTCCTGAAGACATGGAACAGATTGATCATCCTGGGATCTGCGTCTGTTGACGCAATGGTCCCTGGGCCCCTTCACGCTGTCTTTCTCAGGACGGAGCCGCAGGAGCGCGCCGCATCGCGGAGGCGTCGGCGACTACCCCCCACGCGGCGCGGGAGGGGCCGCCCGGGGGCCGGGGGCGGCACAACCTTCCTGCAGGGATGCGGCTGCGGACGCTGGGGCGAAGGGCCCGCTCCGCTCTCGGAACGGGGCGCAGTGCTCCTCCCGGGCGCCCCACGTCGGAGGAGGAAGAGGCACCCGTGCCCCCCCCCCCCCCCTCGTCTGCCCCATCCTGTGCCTCCGGGGGGGCCCTCCCTGCCACCTCTGGACTCGCTTCGAGATTCTCGAGATGGTGGTCCGAGCGCACCCGGGGAGAGGTCTGGGGAGCAGTGGCATCGTCGGGCCGGACGGAAGGGGGGGATTGGGAAGGGGGGGGTTACGAAATTTGCTGCATGCAGCTGGTTTCGGCCTCACCGAGGGGCCCATTCCTCGATGCATAGCCGCCTCCGGCGCCGGGAGGCGCCGGGAAAATCAGCTACGTGAGCTGATTCTCAAACCCCCCCTTTGCTATCCCCCCCTTTCGCCCGATCCGATATCGGTACCTTTTGGTTTCCCCACACGTCTCGAAGCATCTCAAGACGGAGTTCTCTTTCGCCGTTCGCGGCCTCCCTTGGGTCCGGCGTCGGGCTCCCCGGGACAGCCGAGCAACTGCGCAGAAGGAGCTGGTGGTCCAGGGGAGAGTGTCGGGGCTTCCGGGGGCCCCGCAGGTGCGGAAGAGCTCGAGACATCGGATGTCGGGGGCGGAAAAGAGGGGGGTGATGGCTAGGGGGGGTGGATATCATGGCGTGGGCCGTGATATTTCCCCAGATTTCATGGCGCCTCTTCTTATTTCATTACGTTCCTGGCCCCCCCGCTGGGCCGCGCACATGCCGCCGGTCATGATTTGCACCCCCCCCTCTTGGACACCCCCCTCTTGGCCGCTCCCGAGGATGGTCTGGGCATGCTCCGTGGGTGCTTCCACGGGTTCTCTTCCGGTGGTTCGCGTGCATCATGCAGCCGAGCCCCCCCCCCCCAGAGGGCTTTCGCTTCTTGTCCGAGGTTGCTTGCGGCAGAGCTTCGGCTACTGCGGGGCAGCCACTGCCAAGACTACAGCCACAGCCTTGAGCAATGACCACCACTGGTCTGAGGAGGAGGAGGAGGAGGAGGAGATTCGACCCGATGCTCCTGATGTCCCTCCTTGGGCGCTTCCACTGGGCGCTCCCCGTTGGGATCTTCGTTGGCGCGAGTGGAGCCACACAGGGACTTCGTTCCCTGCGTGCCTTTTGCTGGCAGGCGCCCTGAGCTACGACGCTGTGTGTTAGGAAGTGGGAGGCCCTCGGTTACTTACCGCAGGCGGTGGAGATGTGTCAAGTCCGAGCCCAGAGTGAGGGCCCTTGGTGTGCATCGGGAGCCTTGAGACGGGGGTCCATGCAGAGGGGGTCCGGCAGAGCGCCCGATCTTGCAGGATCCTGCAGGGCCAGGGCCGCGTGCAGGATGCCGCAGGATCCTGCAGGATTCTTCGCGCTGACCCGGGTTTGGGTCCAGGATCTTGCAGGATTCTGCAAGGCCTGGTTGACCCGGGTCTGGACTGGCCCGGGCCAGGAGATCCCCGAGGTGCGGATGCCCTCTGCGGGGCCCCCTCCACCGAGGACCTGGTGTGGCCGAGGGCCGAGCGTCGTGCCGATCGATCGATGGGAGTGCCGGGGTCGAGGCTCGCGGCCATCCGTCGAGGATCAGTGGCCGCTCGCCATACAAAAGGAAAAGGGGTCCCGAGGGACACAGGTCCTAGATCCCGGGGCTGCCTCCCGCGACCCGATCTTCATCCCGTTTTTGTTGGGGCTCCCCAGGCCCGCAGAGGGCCACACGGGGCAAGCGGACATGTCCTGTGCGTTGTGGGTCTTTCTGTGTGGTTTTTTGGCATAAACTTTTGGCGCTCCGCGCGGGTTTCTTGTATCCGCGCTGGGCCCCCCGGGCGGCGCCTCCGGCGCCGCCCCTGGCGCGCTCCGCGCGCCAGGGAGGGGAGTCCAAGCGCAGATTCAGGAAAGCCGCGCGGGGCGCCAACAGTTTATGTTTATGGCGCTTGTTCTTTCCTCTGGTGGCTCATGCTTTCAGTTGCTCTGTTTTGCCTTGTAAACAGCAGCCATAATGCCGTGGATCGTGTGGGGAGCGATCCTCGAAGGCTGCGGGGTCGATGGGGGTCGCGGATCGCGCCAGGCCTCCTCCGCAGGGCCCACGCGTTCTGGCCCTCGGCTCGGCAGGGGTAGCGCGAGAGGGGAGGAGCGGCGGCCGAGGGGAGATGGGCAGGGAGCGTACAGTCCACGCGCATAGTAAGGACGCGCGCCTTTTCTAGGGTACCCCTGTGTCCTTGCTTCTGCGGCCCGTCCTTTGCTGTTTCCATTGGGGTTTTGGTCGCCTGCCGCCCAACAGAACCCGATTTCGGCCTCCAAGGGTCTTGCGTCCTTACCACCCGTCCTTAATATACGTTTTCACTGTAGAGGTTCGAGGAGGTTTGAGCCGTCATTGTAGACCTCTGTGGGCTGGCTTCGGCCAAGGGAGGAAGAAGCACCCGGACCTGAGAACTGGCGTTCGCGAAACGGCCCTGGGCGTTTACGAAACAGCCCTGCCCTGCTTGATCCCCTCGGTGGGTGCGTTCACGAAACGGCTTCGCGTGTCGGGGTGATCATGATGGGGGTGGATCTTCTGCCCTCTACCCGGGCTCCGTGCATGGGGGTGCTCGATTGGCATGGGGGGGGGCGGGTCCGGGAGGGAAGGGTGAAGGGGCCCTGGGACACACAAAAAAATACACAAATAACAAGATTCCCCATGTTTTCCCATATTTTCCGTGTGTTTGCCTTCCCGCCCAATTCTCCCTTATTCTCCCATATTTCCCTGGGAAGTCGACGATTCATTGTGTCTGTGTGCTTCTTTCCCTCCCGAAAGGGGCCGCGGGATCTCGTGCTCGCCTCGTCTCGGCACCTGGGGGTGCTGGCGCCGGGCGGCGCGCAGCAGAGCGCGCTACAGGAGGCTGCTGCGCCAATCCGTAGGTCCAGAGTCTGCGCTGGCATGCTCTACCTTTTCCCAGACACGATCGTGCCGTGGAAAAATCAGGACGAGAGGTTTTGTAGCCACTTTCGGCCCCGGGGGGGCTCTGGCATGCTCTGCCCTCCCAGACACGATCGTGCCGTGAAAAAATGAGGACGAGAGGTTTTGTAGTCATTTTCGGCCCCGGGGGGGGCCTCGCCGGGCCTCGGGGCCGTCAAACAGCGACTCAGGACGAAGCGCCGCCCCCCGGGGCAAGGGCCAGGACTTCCAGGGGCGCCGTCCTTGAAAATGACAGGACGCCGCATGTCTGGATTGGGGTCTCCGAGGAAAGGATCGCGGATCGCCCAAGGACCCGTCGAGGTCATCCGGCTGTCCACGGCAAATGCCGCCACCGTGATCCCCAGAGAGGAGACATGGCCGTCCAGGAGCCTTCAGGAGCAGGGGCGGTGCACGCAAGTGGGCGCGGCGTGAACCCTGCAAGGCAGCACTTGGGCGACGACAGAAATCCATGTCGACTGCGCGTGAGCCTTTCGCGTAACGTCGCACGTAGGCGCCCCTGTTTCCCGTGTAGCGTGCCGCGCTGGCCGCCCGCGCAAGCAACCGCGCAAGGTCGCCATGTTCGGGGGCGGCCAAGAGGGGGGCGATGACTAGGGGGGGGTGGATATCATGGCGTGGGCCACGATGCTTTCTCAGATTTCATGGCGCCTCTTCTTATTTCACTGCGTCCCTGCCCCCCCACCCTTGGGCCGCGCACGTGCCGCCGGGCATGCTTTGCGCCCCCCCACCCCCCCTCTTGGACGCCCTCCTCCTGGCTGCCCCCGATATGCCATCTCGCGTAATACCCGTTTCTGGTCGTCGCTCAGGTGGAGTGGCCTCGCGCGTTCTGCCGTCGCTCCGTCGCTCGCCCCTGCCGGCGGCGCGCACACGGACGGGCGGCGAGGCCCGGCCAGGGGCGGTGGAGGTGCGTCGGTGGGTCTCGCCGTCGCCCTGGTGGCGGCGGGCGCCGTCGCATCGGTGCGATCGGCGTACGGGCACGGAGAGGAAGGGTCCGAAGGCCGACGGCAGTTCCTGCCAACTCTGAGCGGGGCACGCTGTCGGCGTCGCTGCGGACGCGTGGCCAGGCAGCAGCATGCCAGGAGTCGCGGTGGCGGCAGCCTGCCCGTGGGGGGGGGGGTTGCCCGGGAGCGCGCGAGGCGCCCTCGCACTGCATGGCCGTCGAGGGCGGCCGCGGCGCGCCGGGGGAGCTCGGCGTGACGCCGTCGGCACGCGGGCGCGCCGGGCGATCCCCACCCCCGCCCCGCAGGACGAGGAGGACGAGGAGGACGAGGAGGACGAGGAGGAGGACGAGGAGGACGAGGAGGAGGAGGAGGAGGAGGAGGAGGAGGAGGAGGAGGCGGAGGAGGCGGACGAGGCGGACGAGGCGGACGGCGGGGGGGCGGCAGTTGACGACTCCTCGCGCCATTAGGTTCCAGGTTCCAGGCGGACGAGGAGGCCGACGAGGAGGAGGAGGAGGAGGAGGAGGACGAGGAGGAGGAGGAGGAGGAGGAGGAGGAGGACGAGGAGAAGGCGGAGGACGAGGTGGACGAGGAGGACGAGGAGGACGAGGCGGACGCGGACAAGGGTGGGTCATCCCTGCCACCCCCATGCGCTGCAGTCTACTCTTGGATCTCTGCTGCTCCCAGCTGTCTTGCGTTTCGGGTTTGTCGCAGGTGCGCGCCGCGGCAGTGCCAGTCCCTGACTTTTGTTTCCGTTGTCTTACTCTCAGCGCCTTGCCGCAGAAGCATGTCAACCAGACGCTACGATCTAAGGTCATCCAAGCTTACCTCGCGTCAGAGGAGGGGGAGGAAGACAGGATTACCTGGTGGCAGTTCTTGGCGAGCGTCCTGCCCTGCCGGCAGATCCCTGCTCTCCAGCGAGACTCGGCCCCATCCCAGGCCTTCCTCCCTGGCCGGCCGAGGCTGCGGCCTCCGCAGGCCCCTTCCTCTCGGCCACGCGCGGCCTGGCCGTTGTGACTCCTTTGGTGCGCGGCCAAAGCGTTTTCGTACGCTTTGGTCTCCTCCTGGTTCTCTTCCGGCGGCGAGCGAGGGGCGGGCGTGGGAAGGACACGGCCCTCTCAGAAGGCGGCGGGACTTCCTTCTCGGGAGCCCTCGCGCCTTCTGAGAGGTCGTCTCTGTCTTCGGGGAAGGCTCAGAAAACCTCGCAGGAGGCCGTGGGACTTCTGAGCCTCTGGAGAGGGCCCGCCCCTCCTCGCGCTCCCCCCCCCCTTGCTCGCCGCCTCTCTGAGGGCAGGAAGGGGTCCGAGGCTGGACGTTGCACCGTGTGGGGCACCTCGTCCTGAGGTTCGAGGCCCGAAAACCATCACATCTCTAATTTTGGGCCCCAGGGCCCACTGAGGCCCCAGGGGCCCCAGGTTTGTGAAGTGATGTTGTTTCCCACGTAAGGACTCCGAGATTCATCACTTCACTAAACCGAGCCCAGGACGAAAGTCAGGGGCCGAATTGATGCTGTGATGCAACATGGGTCTCGTATGAGGACCCCACCCCTCAGGACCCCCGCCTCTGGGCCCCGCCGGCGGGAGCCCCCCCCGGGGGCCCGGGGCCCGGCGCCTGCTCTCGCCTCCGGAGGCGTGCCAGCGGGTATGCGCCTCGCCGAGGGCGCGCGCCGCCACGGCCGCCGGAGACGCGAGCTCTGGCTCCCTTCCTCCTCCTCCTCCTCCTCCTCCTCCTACCTCTCCTCCTCCTCTCCTCCTCCTCCTCCTCCTCCTCCTCCTCCTCTTCGCGCCGAGCTGCCTTCCCAGACGCGAATCGCGTCGTAAAAGGATCAGGACGAAAGGTTTTTGGCCATTTTCGGCCCCGGGAGGCCCTCGCCGGGCCTCGGGACCGTCCTTCGTCAGAACACGACTCGGGAGGAAGAACGGGTCCCGGGGAAAAGGTCGGGGCTTCAGGGACGCTGCGCTGAAAAAAACTGGACGTCGCATGTCTGGGCTGTTTGCTGCGCGGATTTCCGGGGCGGGGGGGGCGCAATCAGACGACACCAGGCCTCGAGATATTTTGGGAGTCTTTGAGATCTGGCGGCTCTGGAGGGTGTCTCGGGCGCCGCGGTCTTCTCAGAGCGTTCCGCAGTGCGCTGAGAGCATTTCAGAACGCTCTGGAACGGAGTTCTCCTCGTCGTAGCCCCGCCCGGCGCAAGGGGCTTGGGGGGGGGGGGGGGGCAACCCAGGCACTTGGGCCACCATTGTCGCATAGCATGCAGCGGTCGGCAGGCCGTTCACCAGTGGCCACTCTTGCCAGGGATCGCTCTCTGCGTGCAGCCGATGCTCTTCCTCGGGGAGCATGTTTGAAACTGGCGCCCTGCCGGCAGATGATTCTTGCTGTGATGAAAATGGTTCCGCCCAATGTGTGGCTCTTCTCGGCCGAGTCTGGAGGAGCAAAAGGGGGAGGAGGAGGAGGAGGAGGAGGAGGAGGAGGAGGAGGAGGAGGAGGAGGAGGAGGAGGAGGAGGAGGAGGAGGAGGAGGAGGAGGAGGAGGAGGAGGAGGAGAGGAGGGGAGGAGGGAGGAGGAGGAGGAGGAGGAGGAGGAGGAGGAGGAGGAGGAGGAGGCGGAGGAGGAGGAGGAAGGAGGAGGAGGAGGAGGAGGAGGAGGAGGAGGAGGAGGAGGAGGAGGAGGAGGAGGAGGAGGAGGAGGAGGAGGAGGAGGAGGAGGAGGAGGAGGAGGAGGGGAGGAGGAGGAGGAGGAGGAGGAAGGAGGAGGAGGAGGAGGAGGAGGAGGGGAGGATGAGGAGGAGGAGGAGGAGGAGGAGGAGGAGGAGGAGGAGGAGGAGGAGGAGGAGTAGGAGGAGGAGGAGGTGGAGGAGCAGTGCAAGCCCAAGACGTACCAACGATGTTGCAATGCACCCTCCCTCCAAATTCCTTCTTCACACGGCCCTACAAGAATTTCACTGCGGGAAGTGCCGCGTTGGAAGACGACCGTCTGAGCAAATCCTCAATCTTGCCTCAAGGCAACTCTTCACCCTTCCTGTATCCCCACCACCCCGTTCAATAGCCTGACGAAGGACCCACCATAAGCAGTTGTGGATACCGCGTTCTGGGTCCATCGTTCGACGGCCCTCCCTGTGGGGCCACGAACCGTGTGAGTGGTGTGCCGAAATGGGCGTGGAACCACGTGCGAACCCTGCCACTGGAGCCTTCGGTGGAGCTCCCTATGGGGCCACGAAGCGTGTGTCGAAATGAGCGGGGAACCGCATGAGGACCCTGCCACTGAGGCCTTCGGTGGAGCTCCCTATGGGGCCACGAAACGTGTGAGGGATGTGTCAAAATGGACGGGGAACCGCGTGCGAACCCTGCCACTGGGGCCTTCGGTGGAGCTCCCTGTGGGGCCACGAAACGTGTGAGGGGTGTGCCGAAATGGGCGTGGAGCCGCATGTGGTCCCTGCCACCGGGGCCGTCGGTGGAGCTCCCCATGAGGGCACAAAACGTGTGGGGGGTGTACCAAAATGGGCGTGGAGCCGCGTGCGAATCCTGCTTCTGGGGCCTTCGGTGGAGCTCCCTATGGGGCCACGAAACGTGTGAGGGGTGTACCGAAATGGGCGTGGAACCGCGTGCGAAGCCTGCCACTGGGGCCTTCGGTGGAGCTCCCTATGGGGCCACGAAACGTGTGAGGGGTGTGCCGAAATGGGCGGGGAACCGCATGCGGACCCTGCCACTGGGGCCTTCGGTGGAGCTCCCTATGGGGCCACAAAACGTGTGAGGGGTGTGCCAAAGTGAGGGGGGTGACGGGAGGAGAGAGGGGATGGGGCAGCGGGAGGAGAAGGCGCTGTCTCTTCAAAACGAGGACCCAAGACCACAGGATGGTTGGGAAAACACTGCCCGAGAGAGCTGACGGGGAATGGGACGAATAGACATATACAGTGAAACAAAGCTGGGCGGATCCATGGAGAATGGGGCCGAGTGGACAAGGAGGCAGGGGATGATGAGGAGGAGGAGGAGGATGAGGCAACCCGCCTCTCGGGGCCCCTGTGGGACGCTCTTGGAGCGCTCTTGGGCTCTCTTGGGGCCGTCCTGGGGCCCGCTTGGAGGCCCTGCACGGCCTCTTGGGGTCATCTTGGAGGGCGTCGGCCACTTGATGGGGGTCCGTCCTAAATTTCCCTCCCTCCCTTTGGCCACGACCATCGCCTCTTGTGGCGCTCTTGGGGCGCTGTTGGGGCGCTCTTGGATCGCTCTTGGGGCCGTCTCGGGGGCCTGATGGGCCCCCCATTGGCCATCTTGAGGCCTCAAAGGCGCATGGGAAGCGAACGGGCGAGCAGGCAACCATCATTGATATTCTTCAGGTGTGTTACGGTTCGGAGGTGTCCTCATTAGGGGCTCCGGCAGCACTGGAAACCGTCTTGCTGCTCTCGTCTGGCCTCTCGAAGGTGTGTCGGAAGCTACCCTGCGCCATCTTCGGCTATTTGGGGCCGTTGGAGCATCGGAGGATCTCTTGGAACCACCTTGCGCGAACAGCGGCCTCTGACACACCGCGAACCCCCCAACCAAACCTCAGTGAGGGGAGGGGGAGACCCCACCCAGATGGGTAGAGGGCTTTGGAAGAGAAGCGACAGAACCCGTTAGACCACCTTAGCCAAAAGAGCTGGTGGGATTCCTGGGGCTTTAGCGCCGGAAATCAATGTTACTGTTGCGTCCGGGCGATTCTGAATCGTGCCAGAACGCCGTTCCTGGGACTTCAACACGGCGAATCAGTATGTCTGTTGCGTCCTGGCCATCCAAGATCTTGGAGGAACGCCGTTCATGGGACGTCAGCTACAATAATCCTTGAGCCGGTTGTGAACTTTGAAAACGAGTGTGCGCGTCGCTACGCCAAGATCCATATTGTGAGAAGGCGCCCCCTTTCCCATCCGTGAAAACCTTGCAAGCTTGCAAGACAGTTCTGCGCGGCGCTAATGTGATAGCCACAGTTTCAGAAGGAGCCCTTTGTTTCTTTCCGTCAAGCGTATGCAGAGTTGTATGGCAAATGCGCGCAGCGCTGAGGCGGGAGCCACATTTTGAGAAGGAGCCGCCCTCCATCCGTGACGACTCCGCGCGACGCTTAGGCGAGGGCCACATCTAGAAAAGGAGCCGTCCATCCGTGACACCCCTGCCAACTTTTAAAGCGACTGCGCTTGGCGCTAAGGCGAGATCCCCATTTTCAGAATCGTCCCCTCCTCCGTCCGTGAAGCGCATCCGACCTTTTAAACGGAAAGCGTCAGACGCTAAAGCGAGGGCCGCATGTTGAAAACCACCCGCCCTTCATCCGCGCCACTGTTGCATCTTTCGGGCTCCTGGATCATACATGCTAAGGAAGTCTTAGGCGAAACGCCCTTCCCGCCTTACCGGCACGTCTCGGGGCGCGACAGGGAGCAGTTATTTACAAGGGAAATGGAATGAGGAGGAGGAAGAGGAGGAGGAGGAGGAGGAGGAGGAGGAGGAGGAGGAGGAGGAGGAGGAGGAGGAGGAGAAGGAGGAGGAGGAGGAGGAGGAGGAGGACATATTCGGGAACGATTCGATCAAATGGGTAACCGAGCTGTGCGGCGCACTCACTGCTCCGCTCTCAGCTTCAATGCGTTGCGGCACGCGGCACGCGGCGAGAGTCACCAAACTACGGCTCCGCAGGTGCAACTCGCGCTTAGCACTGCTCAGCTCCCGCATCGCGTCAGACCTACGTTTCCAGTCTACTTTGAGCTCCTTATCGATACGCTACGTATTGCGTGTTGCGCATCGGGGCAGCTACGCCCCCCATCAACAGTGATCATCCCTCTCTCCCTCCCTCTCCGTCGACCCTGTTTCTCCCTCCTCATCCTTGCTCTTCCGCTGGGCGCACCATCTTCATAAGCATGCACCTTCTGTGGTACGGCGCTGCCCCCCCCCCCCCCCAGCGGCGTCTCCAGCGCCGCGGCAGTTTTCATGGTGTGCAGCGCGCCCGTGCTGACTCGTTTGGGGTGTGCGTGGGCCCGTCGTGGCCTGCGGGCGACCGCGCGTGTCAGAACGAACCGCCAGTCTGCCCCAGAATCGGCGTCACCCCAACGTACTAGTTCTATGTGTGCGTCGCCCCCTCATGGGGCGACGCGCGCACCGAGAAACCTTCTTGTATATGCGTCGTGGCGGGCGCTTTCTGGCCACACCGCTCGGGTAACGATTTACTACAAGATGGGTATACTGCATGTTCGGGTCGGACGCGCGCCTCCAAGGATAACGTCTAGTACTCGTATGTTTTTATGCGGCCCACAGAAGATAACAGCTGTTGGATTTGAGCCCACGCAGCTTGCGCCAGTGGAACTTGCGTCCTGCAGACAGCCTTGGAGTTCTGAGCCCCAGGCCGTTTTTTATTTCTGAGGTCTGACTTGCGGGGGCTCGAGGCTCGTGGTCGAGGGTCGAGGGTCGAGGTTCGAGGCTCGAGGCTCGAGGCTCGAGGGTCGAGGGTAGAGGCTCGAGGTCGAGAATCGAGGGTCGAGGTTCGAGGCTGGAGGATCGAGGATCGATGATCGAGGTCCGAAGCAGAAGCCAGCGACCAAGGGTCGCCAGGACGGGAGCCGGGGAGGCAGACCGAGCGCGGTGTGGGGACGTTCCGTCCTGCTCGCGGCGGGCTCGGCGCATGCTGAGCGATCTGGCTGTCAGAAAGCCACGCTCGTTCACGGTACGAGGTGGGGATCCGCCGAGCGCGGGGCAGGGATCTCGCCCTGCTCCGCGCCGTGGGTTCTCCTGGCCCCCCTTGGCCGCCGGGGCCGCTTGTGCTCAGGCGGGGCGACCTGGACGCCGTGCGGCAGCGCATAGAGTGCCTGGTGTCGGAGACTGCGGGGGGAAGGGGAGGAGAAAGGGGGGAGGGGTATGAGGTGGGAGGACGTGAATGAGGAGCAGGAGGAGGAGGACGAGGAGGAGGAGGAGGAGGAGGAGGAGGAGGAGGAGGAGGAGAAGCCAGAGGAGAGGCAGGAGTGGAGATCATTTGCTATGTCTATTTTTTTCTGGCGCAGGCCCAGTCTGCCTCCCATGCAGGACTCACTGCTTTAGATTTGGTGCAGGATTGGGTTCATCGGCGAAGGGAGCGACGTTTGGCCACATCGTGGCAAATGAAAGGGTGTACATTTTCCAGGCGATTTGGTGAGAGAAGCGACATGGTAACACAAGAGATGAGGAGAGCAATCTAGGTCCGCTCACATAATTATTTTCTGTAAGTTGGCCGAGCTTTCGTGAAAAGGACCCTGGTAACCAACTGGCAGTTGCAGGATCCTTCCTGCATAGGAGCAGAAATAATTTTGGCGTTGAAGTTTTTGTTGGTCGCTACCGTCCGTGTGGCCTAGGCACCGAATGCGGAGCTCTAGGAGCCAAACGGCGACGAGAGGCGGAGGAGGAGGAGGAGGAGGAGTAGAAAGAAAAGGAGGAGGAGGAGAAACTTTACCAGAATGCGGAGGATGATGATCAGGAGGCGGAGGAGCAGGATGCGTAGGATGAGGAGGATGAAGAGGACCAGGAAGGATGAGGAGGAGCGAGGAGGCGGACTAGGGGGAGCGAGGAGTAGCAGGACGAGTGAGCAGCGAGGATGAGCGATGAGCAGGAGCAGGAGCAGGAGGAGCGGGAGCAGGAGCAGGAGGAGCAGGAGCAGGAGCAGGAGGAGCAGGAGCAGGAGCAGGATGAGCAGGAGCAGCAGCAGGCGCAGGAGGAGGAGGAGGAGGAGGAGGATGAGGAGGAGGAGGAGGAGGAGGAGGAGGAGCAGAAGGATCAGGGGACGGCGGAGGAGGGGACCAGACGTGGGTGGCATCGACGAAGGCTGGATTGGGATCCAGAAGTGTGCCCCGCGCCGCGCGAGAGCGCCATCCAGAACGACGGGGACGTGGTCAACGCACTGATCCCGAAACGTGGCCAACGCTGCAGCGGAGACTTCTGTTGTAGGTGCTGGTAACCTTCCCAGTAAACGCAGCACATCAACACGCTTTGTTGCAGTTCCGTGCGTGAAAACACAATGCGTGAGAGAGGCGCCCCCCCCCTCCCCGCACTGGACCATGTCAGGTGAGTTCGGGGAGTAGTGCCCATGTAATCGTGAAGGGGGATGCGTAGGATGGGGCGTTGCGAGGGGATGGGATGGGATTGGAAACCATCTGTGTTCTTGGCTCTAGCGTTATCTCACCCCCTCTCTCATGTCTATCTATCATGATGGATTGAGAGAGGGTGAGAGAAAGGGAAAGAGAGAAAGAGAGAACGAGAGAGAGAGAGAGAGCGATATACTTAACAAGAGAGGGAGAGAGAAAGAGGAGCGATATACATATATATATATATATATATATATATATATAGAGAGACCTAGATATATTCATATTGGGAGAGCGAGAGAGAAATAGAGAGAGAGAGAGAGAGACCCAGAGAGTGACAACGACTCAAGACGAAGCTACGTGCGGCTTCCAGAAGAAGACACGTGCGGCTCTGTAGCCATTCTGGCTCGAGCCATGCCGGCCCAAACTCAGACGCCTTGCCCTGGGCGCCTGCGCCTGGCCGCCGCCGAGGGGCTGGCCCACGACCCGCTCGTCGAGGCACGGGGCCCCACGCTGACGTGCGCCGAAGCACGCTCCGTTGCCCGCCTCATTTTGTCGCGACGCCCCCTCCTCCTCCTCCTCCTCCTCCTCCTCCTCCTCCTCTTCCTCCTCCAGGTTCCGCTCTTTTTGCTCGCGCCCCGCAGTCCGACGCCATGACGCGCCGCCATGAACTGACGAAGAGCGACAAGCGACAAGCGACACAGCCTCTCGACCTCTCGGACCCGAGGGAAGACACGCTCGGGCACGGACTGCAGCGTCAGCCTGGATCGCTCCTCACCGTCAGCGGCTCCTTGGCGCCCAAGTCGCCCTCGAGACCGCAGCGGTCGTGACAGGAGCCCATCCCTCGATCGGGGCGACCGCAGCTTCAGCGGTGGCAGCGCCGTCGTGAAGAAGGACAGGTCCCTACCATTGGTGGCTGAACTGATGTCTGAAGCCCGTTCCAGGAACACCAAGTTCTCACCAGTTGAGCAAGCAGTTCAGTAAGAAGTTCTCGACATGAGGAGTGCCCTAGCCATGACCGGCAAAAACGTGCAGATGCTCAACGCTCGTCTCCAGGCGATGGAGAACACGTCCGACACCAACTTCGCTGGAGCAGTCACCGCCGCCGGCGGCGCCAAGATGGAAGCCGCCACCGCCGAGATCGCCACGCTTCGTTCGCAAGGTACTCCCATCACGGCGTGACAGCCGCTCAGGTCGAGTCCAACAACGTATCGCATCCATCGAAGCTCAGCTTGCGCCGCTGTCGGGCCGACCTTCAGTTGACAGCAGTCCAGGGCCGCGTCGCCCGATCGCCTTCTGCCGACCAGTAGGGTACACATGCAAGCTCATCGCCACAGGTCTCCCACGGAAGATGCTGGTCCGCACCTTGCAGACCATTGGAGACACTTTGAGGCCGCACTACGCGCCTCTCGAGGCACAGGCTCGCATCAGTGTCACATGTTTCGATATGCCAAACAATGATTTTCGACTTCGAGCAAGCTAGTGATGCCAGCAATTCCCTTGCCAATCTTTCAGTCCAGATGGTTCCGATCGGATTGCAGGACCGCTCATCGCCAGCAGATTCTTCAACAGTAAGATCAAACGTGGCCGGGACATCGAAGGCCGCCAGCTCTTCCTTTCCATGGGCCGCGCGAGGCCGTGCATCACCGCGCAGCCCGCGCTCAGAGGTATCGCTGCATGCAGCAATGGGCTTGCCGGCCTCGTGCATGAGTTGAAGGCCGAGACGGAGCCGATCGAGATCGCACAGCTGTCCGTCGACCCCGGCACCCGCGCCGTCTCCAGCGAGGTGGGCGCTGTAGGCCGTGCTGAATTCGGCCTGCAGGCGCAGGCTGCCGAGATTTCGTGTTGCAGCAGAGGTGCAGGTCAGGCGTCCCTTTAGACGCTGATCACTGCTGCACCCCAGAAGATATCCGCACTTCTGCTTGTTCCTCTCTTGACCAGCAGTTGTTTCAGCACGAGCGTGGGGAGGGTTCTTCCTTTTGACCTTCTTAGAATTTGTCTGCATCATGCCCCCTTCCCAGCTGCTCTCTTTCTGCGAGTGGAATGCCCGCGGCCTCTTCAGCTCTGTCAGATGTTCTACTTGGCGCTCATCTGCTGGCCACTCCCTCCTCCTCAAGCTTTCGCTTCGTTGCAGCATTGTGTTGTCAGGAAACCCGCGGACATATCTGAGATTTTGAAGAGCTCCACCGCGAGCTGGGCTCGGCATCGACTTCGGGCTTCTCGATTGGCTCATCGCTCTCTCCTGATTCGCAGCGCGAGTGTGGGGTCACCACTATCTTGAATACGCCTATTTGCCAGCGCCTCACCTCCATAGATATTGCCTGCTACTGCTGGTCGTATCCTACGCAGTCGTCTTATAGGTCTAGCCAGTGCTCCCAGCATCTTCAATTTCCACCTCCCTAGCACGAGTGACACGCTGGCAGTTGATGTCAGGGCGCTCCGTGAGTTGCGCTCATAGTTTCGGAAGTTCCCGCATGGCCGCCCGATTATGATTGGCAGCTCTAACTTCGCCCTCGAGGACGATGGCCGCATGCAGTGTGAGCAGTCTGGGTGGAGGGCTGGTGATCGTTTTGCTTCTCGGCTCTCTCAGCGTCACCTCGGGCCAGGAACTGCGCGCGAGGAGGGGGTCCAGGGATGGTGTCGTCTCGCGCGCGGCGCTCTTCGATCGTGCGCGTGCTTCGCTGCCCCAGGCGATGTTTCGCGACCTAGATATCCGCCGTGATTTTCTTGGTCGACATTGAACCCGCCAGTGGTTCATCCCGGAATGGATCGTTCGCCACCCCGAATTCCAGAAGCATCTCGAAGCCGCCATTGTTGACGCGCCAAGCGAGTTGTGTCCGTGGCAGCGGCTGTCACAATTGGAAGACCGGATGCGTGCCTCTGCTGTTCACGTGCAAATGTTTGTTAAGCTTGAGGTTGCCGCCGCTTTCGAGTTCGAGCAGCAGCGGGCGTTGCAGGCGCTGCGCGGTTGGAGGCTGGGCAAGGGGCGCATGGTCCTCCGCGCCGCTTGCTGTTGTCCGACGCTCCAGTCACATGTCTGCCTCGCCGCCTTCCAATGCATTCGTTCGGGCGGCCTTAGGCCTCGCTCTCTTATATGGCGACGCTAGCGAGCTTCCAATCGAGATGGGGCGGGGCCCCGTGGTCTTCCCCCCGAGGGGCGCGGGCCTCAGGGACGAGCCTGTGGAGGCCATTCGTCATCCTAGCTGCGCGCGTCCTCTCAGCGTGTCTTGCCGATGTGAAATCCCCCCTGGCGCGCTTGCGACCCCCCTCGCTGTCGACGCCCAGCTGCGCATCGCTGACGAACAAAAGTGCGTCCAGGGTCGTGGCGCGATGACGAATGCGGTCGATTCTGAAGGGTGGGGGGCTTGAGCAGCGCGCAGTTGATCGCCCTGGCGCGGCCCTCTTCCTCGCTGGTTTCTGCGCGGCCGCCCAGTCTTTGGCGACCCCGTGGATGCTCCGCATTCTCTCCCGCGTGAGTGTCTGCTCCAATGCGTGATTTTTCTTCTATGTATGTTGCCGAGCTAATATTGTCAGCGCGTCTCTTGGCGGGAGGGCGCGCGGGGAGTTTGCCGCGCGCGGGCTGTCCAACCCCCATGCTGCTCCTCGTTTTCTCGGCCGACCCGTTGTTGTGGCGGGCGCGTCTCAAGCGGTAGATGCAGAAGACATTCGCCGACGCCGATGATTTCTGTTTCGGTTTGGTGAACGCCCCAGCCCCCCTGCCCCCCCCCCCCCCCCCCCCCCCCCCCCCTCAACGCGCTGGCGCG